GTTGGAATCACTTTCAAAATGATTTTTCTCCAGCTGATGAACGATAAAAAACTGACAGCCAATCAGAATCCATCCTGCTGTAACGAGCTCAAGAATTTAAAGCGGCAGACGTGCGTGCGCTTAGAATAAACAGACGATATCGTTCGCTGGTGTGGACGCTAATATCGTTATCTTTATAGTTATCGTTCTTGGTGTGAACGGGGCTTTAGTATGGACTTTTAGAGTTTAAATGAGAGCTAATGATTGGATGGTGCTACACTATGTTGGTGTATTACACTTAAAAATAGCAAGTGTGAATTGTTCGCTTAATGCAGTTTCAAGGGTAAAGGTAATTTGTTTAATTAGTACCCCAGGAGGACATCTTTAAAATCCACTCTCAGGTCCTATCTTAACTCAAAAATGCCATGCGACATGCCACAATAACAGCCGTTCAGAAAGTGTTTGATGTACAGCGGGATATTGGACCAATAGGATTTTACTGTGGGCGGGGCTATCCAGCACAACACTGCAGAAATGAAAATTAAAAATTACATTTTGTCCATACAGTGAAAGTCAATGAATTTCACAAAAACAACTAAAACATTGATTAAACATTACAAGGTCAACACATTTGAAAAAAAAAAAGAAACATGCACAGATGAATTGTTCACGTTAGGATCTACAACATGCCTTTAGAAAATAGACTGGGTGAATTTTCATTTTGTGTCATCTTTAAAGGAATTGCTCACCCACAAATGAAAATGAGCTGAAAATGTACTCATCCTCAGGCCATCCAAGATATAGATTTTCTTTTTCAGTGAATGGGTGCCGTCAGAACGAGATGAAAACATCACAATAATCCACACCGCTCCAGTCCAACAAGTGGTTATTTTAGTTCTGGCTAAAATAACCCATAATAATAATAAATAGTCCATAATCTTATATATATTCTTTCCTGATTCAGACAAGATGACTTTTTCACTGGAGGAAGCAATAACTGGAGGAGGTAATGGTTTGAAGTTAAAACACCTTAATGATGGATTTGTTTCTAACAAACACACTTTTTTTTGGCTTCACAAGACATTAACTGATGGACTGGAGTGGTGTGGATTACTTGTGGATTATTGTGATGTTTTTATCAGCTGTTTGAACTCTCATTCTGACGGCACCCATTCACTGCAGAGGATCCATTGGTGAGCAAGTGATGCAATGCTACATTTCTCCAAATCTGATTAAGAAACAAACTCACCCTAATCTTGGATGTCCTGAGGGTGAGCACATTTCAGCAAATTTTCATTTTTGGGTAACTATACTGACTGGCTGCAGCTTTACTCTAGTTTTCGGACACAGTCGCAGCTGTCACTGCTGAGCTGCTTTCTCTTGTCAGTGTGTATCTAATGGCTTCCTCTCATGACATTCTGTGTCCAGTGTATTATCAGGCCAGCCGCACACACTTCCACCATTTCGTCGATAACGAGTCTAAAACAAAACTGTAAAATCAGTTTTTTTAAAGCATAATAATGCCCTAATTTCTCAGTGTAGATCCGCTATAAACACTCTCTCTGAGCACCTCATTACGGCTCATATGTGGGATGCTCGTCTCTCAGATGGCACCTGGCTTTCAAAGAATTAACCTGCTATACCTTCGCCCTGTTGCTAGGCGACCGCGAGGCGCTTGGCAGTATAATAGGCAGGATTGTCTGAACGTTCGACTGATTATCAAAGACGGGCTGGACTCTCTCAGACTGGAGTGGAGGGAGGGTCGGCCGGCCGCACACTTTAGGACTGACATTAGCAGGGCTGGGATCTGCGCACGCTGCGTGCGGGTCGGGGTTCGGCCGTTAATTAGTTTCTTTTGATGCGGATGATTAGCCGAATGAAGTCTGCCGAGACTCGTTAGAGTAAGTGTGACTGTATTGTAAACTGACAGATGTCCCAGGATGCAAAGCGCTGTTTGCTTTGGGTGCGAGACTGGCGTTCCGTGTTTAGGATTTCAGTGGTGCCAGCTGAGAAACCACACAGCAGGGTTATTACTGTGAAAAATTCATTCAAAACTCATTTCATTTTGTATTTCGATTTTAGATTTTAGTTTTTGGTAGCTCCAATTGTTAATGAAAGAAAGTCTTTAGAAATTGACTAGTTTTAGATTTCATCCCTTATTGTGTTAGAATCAGATGTCTGATTCTTGTCTAGTTTATTTACAGTGGGAATAGAAAAGAATCACCCCCCTTTACAATAATCAGATTTTGTTGCTTTGCAGCCTGAAATGAAGACGGACACAGTTTTTGTTTTATCCAGCTGTATTTCACTTGCATCCAAGTAAAAGATATAACACCAACATGTCAGAATTTTGCCATGACGGTGTCACATGATCTTCAGAAATCATTCTAATATGCTGATTTACGAAAGATATAACACCAACATGTCAGAATTTTGCCATGACGGTGTCACATGATCTTCAGAAATCATTCTAATATGCTGATTTGCTGCTCAAGAAACATTTCTGATTATTATCAATGCAGTTGTGCAAAAAAAACAACATTTTTTTTGTGGAAACTTGTGATGTATTTTATTTTTCAGGATTCTTTGATGAATTGAAAGTTCAAAAGAACAGCATTTATTTGAAATAGAAATCTTTAGTAACATTATAAATGTCTTTACTGTCACTTTTGATCAATTTAATGCATCCTTGCAGAATAAAAGTATTTCTTTCTTACTTATAACACTTATCAGAGTTGTTAAAGTTAACTAAATCTAAAACTGAAACTAAAATCATAAAAAAAAAACATTTTCATTACTTGAAATAACTGAAATAAAATAATATGTGACCCTGGATCACAAAACCAGTCATAAGGGTCAATTTTTCAAAATTGAGATTTATACATCATCTGAAAGCTGAATAAATAATAATAATAATTAATAAATAATTGTTAGGATAGGACAATATTTGGCCGAGATACAACTATTTGAAAATCTGGAATCTGAGGGTGCAAAAAAATC